CCTCAGGAGCAAGTGAAGGGGGAGGAAGGAATAATTTCCTGTCAGAGTCTGGGGCCGCATTACTCCTTCAGCATCCTCTGCCTCGTGGTTCTCAGACCTCTCCTGCCTCTGAGAGTCATGAGTCTGATTTATTAGACTAAAAGTCCATCTCAGAGGCAAAGGGAATGTCACAGAGAAGGAAGGGAGACACCATGCCATAGTCTCTTGTTTGTACACTGTGTCTCTTCATCTGAAGATAATGTAGAAATGGTTCTTAACACAATGTTTGCTTGGTCTTCATGGCAGAACAAGTCAATGTTCAGAGATCAATTATAAAAATGAATGGAGTGGGGCTGTCCTCCATGTTGAATAATATCCTTCTCTTATAAACAAAGTTCTACTGTCTTAAACAAATAAAGGAAAAAGGCTTGCATTCAACATGAGGAATCAGAGTCTGAGACCTTAATCTTTGGCTTCAGTGGCATGGAGTGGGGAGACAGCTCTGAGTAAGCCCACACTCTCTGAGACCTGGGTCCTCTCAGCAGAAGGAAGTGCACTGCAGCCCCGTGGTGCTAGAGTCCACCGGGAATGTCTGTTTGGAAGGCACCATGTGGAAGTCAGTATCCTCACAGCCCTCTCTAAGGAGACACAGGCACATTCTAACGTAGACGCACTCTGGATTCTCCACAGACACTGAGGTGGGGACCCTCTGTGCTGTCTCTCTGCGCCCTCAGGCTGCAGACTCACAGAGACCTTCCACCTACCCTCCCCCAGTGGATTGAGAGCTGCACTGCAGTGGGGAAAGGGTTGTGTTGTGCTGTCCAGAGCCAGGTGGCAGTGTGTGTGTATGTGTGTGTGTGTGTGTTAGGACCTTCTCAGGTCTCTCCCATGAGTCTCAAAACCTGCTACTCTCCCTGCCTTGTGTTTCTACAGTTATAAAGCCTGAGAACTCTCACCTGGAGGGCAAAGCAGAAATATGCAAAGTGGGGACAACCATTTAAAAACACTCTGACTCCACAGAGGAGTCTTACTCACGGCCCAGCTGGGATCTTCATTACTTCCCCTATACATTCTCCTTCCAAGATGCTGTCTGTCAAAATTGTTGTCCTCCTCATGGCCGTTCTCCCAGGTTAGAATGGCCTGCGGTTTGAGGTCCCCTAAGGGGTGGGAGGTGAAATCCTCTGACCTCTGATTCTTGTCTCCACAGGCATCTGTGCCCAGGTGCAGCTGGTGCAGTCCGGGGCAGAGGTGAAGAGACCTGGGGAGTCTCTGAAGATCTCCTGCAAGACATCTGGATACAGCTTTACTGACTACTGGATCCACTGGGTGTGGCAGATGCCTGGAAAAGGCTTGGAGTGGGTGGGAGATATATACCCTGATGATTCTGATACCAGCTACAGCCCATCCATCCAAGATCAAGTCACCATCTCCACAGACAACTCCATCAGCACCGCCTTCCTGCAGTGGAGCAGCCTGAAGGCCACAGACACAGCCATGTATTACTGTGCAAGGGGCACCATGAGAGAAACCACATCCCGAGAGGGACAGAAACCCTCAGCCGGCTGTGTCTGCAGAGCAGAGCCCTCAGGGGCACCTCCACCCGGGACCACCCAGCTCACCACCAGAGGGAACACTGTCTGCTGGGTCCTCGGGAGTGAGACCATGAGGAACACAGGAGCACTGGCCCACAGTGCTGACAATGACACGGGCCCCTCCTGGGGACATAGGTGCTCCTTGTTGGAAGGTGGGTTCTGGGGCAGCTCGCCCGGGGTCCTCTAGAATGTCTTCCCCACAAGGTTTGTTACCGCGTTGTTATGAAATATCTCCCTAATGCAGGCATGTTAATTATTGAGAGTCACACTCAATCCATTACTGTCTTCCTTGCGTCCTTCCTCCTCCCCATCCTTCCTACCTTCCTCCCTCTCCTCCTGGTCATCATCATGGCTTTCCCTTTTTCTGTTGGTAGCTATTTTCATAGTATCACTATTTGTGCTGAGTGGTTGCTATTTGTCAGGAAACAATAGATTAATAAAGCCTTTTCTTTAAATAATTTTAAGCATTACCTCATCACTTATCACCATCTCTTCTATCCACATCTCATCACTCTTCCATTGTTTTAACAACAGCTCTATCTTTCATATACCTGTATTTATTTCATTTTCCCCCCTATCACCTTCATTATACACATCAATTATATTATCCTGGAAAAGCTTTCCCTGTGGACCAGTCACCAGCTTACCTGTGATCCTTGTTTCAGGGGTGAAATGTGGACTGTGAACTCCCAGGATGTGTATCAACAGTGAAAAGGAACCAAGATTGCACCTTGAGAATAAGAGTTCTGTGGTCACATCCTGTAACCCACGTGAGTGCACAGAATGCGAGTCCTTGGTTCTTTTGGGGATGATGGGAACTGTGCAGACAGAGAGTGTTGATGTTCACACACCATGATGACAGTAAGGATGCATAGTGTTGGGTGGGGTCCAATCAAATGAGGCGAGTCTGCAGAAAGAAAAATCAAATCCTGAGGGATTTGTTTTTGCCGCTATTATAGGGTATGAACAAGAGTCTACTACTCAATCCGTATGCTACAAAATCTTACTTTTCACACAAAGCAGATAAAAGGAGAAAGATATTAAAACTAAACACTTTCCTGAGAGTT